CTCTTTCCATTGATCCGCAACCTTACCCCTAACCGCATTTAACTGCCGCTCCTTTGACTCAATCTCTTTCGACAGTTCTTTCATCCGATGTTGTGTCTTATAATACTCCATCTCCTTACCCTTAACCAATTTCTGTAATTCTCCTAATCTACCTTCTTCAACCGAATACTTGTCGAAAGATAACTTAATAGACTGCAATAGGGACGTACCTTCTTCAACCTCCTGCACAAGGTCCTCAAATTCCCTGCCTTTGGCCGCCAGACCCGAGTCCAATTCCGAGTCCTTGGCTTCCAAGACCGCGAACCGGATCTCCTTCTCCCGCTCCTTTAACTCAATCTCCTTCGACAATTGTTTCAACCGTTGTTGCATATTATAATACTCCATCTCCTTACCCTTAACCAATTTCTGTAATTCTCCTAGCTTACCTTCTTCAACCGAATACTTTTCGAAAGATAACTTAATAGACTGCAACTGGGACTTACCTTCTTCAACCTCCCGCACAATGTCCTGCAATTCCCTGCCTTTCACCACCATCGCCGACTCGAATTCCTACTCTTTTGCTTCTAAGACAGCGAATCGAGACCCGATCTCCTTCTCCCGCTCCAGGAGCCCTACGAATGCGGCGTGGAGCGAGACCCTGACGGAGTCGACGTGGTCGTCCAGGTCCTTCTTCAGCTTCGAAGCTATCTCTTCCATTGCTGTCATGCTTCTCCGCTGCTCCGTCGCGGCGGACGCCGTCGTACCGGGAGATATTTTTGGTTTTCTCAAAAACCCTAACAAATGACAACCGCTTGGTTGCCTCTCCTGCCCAGTATGCGACTCATTTTTTGTTCTTTGGTCAACAAATGCGGAAACAAGACGAAGTCCCAAACGGAACGAAGAGGCGCGGACAGTGATAGGGATGACGTGGGACCAGTTGAACTCGACAAGTGTCAGCCTTTCCAGCTCGCCCTGTTGTTGAAAAAATTAGTATCTGATCTCTAGTTATTAATGTTCGTTGATTAAAACTTTATTCTTTTTCAGATTTTGATTCAAGTCCTTAACATTAATGTAATGATAAATTTACATGTCAGTTACATAATTTTTTAAAATAAAAATTGATATAGAATTTTAATACTCACCCCTTTATTAAACTCCTAACTAATTTTCAATTCAAAACATTTCCAAAATAAATGAAAAATTAGAATAAGTTTGTACCCATTAGCTTTTTATAAAATGTTTTCAATTTTTTAATCTTTTATGCACCTATTCATGTAATTTTTTTTCAAATTTTTAATCTTAAAAAGTACATATTCTTAAATATACCGATTTGTTATATGTAAAATGTACCCTTTTTTATATATAAAATGTATTCAATTTTTCTTTAATCCATTTTTTAACTTATATGGGTACATTCTTTTATTTTGATTTGAGAATGTATCAATGTTAAGTTTAATCGAAGATATTTACTAATGTTATTAAGCCTAATATCTATTACTTTTTTTTTATGTGGTTTTGAAGAATGTACCCATGTTTTGGTACAATAATTTTTTTGTTAATTGTGATGAATGTATGTACCCATGACACACACACAATAGTATAATTTATATTTTAGTATTTTTAATCCCACAAATTATGGGTTTTTATTTAAAATCTCATTAATATAAACAACCATAAGTTTCAATCTTTAATTTAAAAAATATAGTAGCATACATAGAAATAAATTATCATATTAATTTCAGTAACTTCGATCAAAAATTGAAAACCAATAAAGTTTCAATCAAAGAATATTAATAGTTATAGACCGCATCCAAAGTCTTCCTTTAATTTAAGTTGTATGTTTGCCTGATATAAACGGTGAAACGAAGAAAGCTGAGAAGTTAGAAATAAGGCAATGATTGACGAGAATCGGAAATTAATTTCAGTTTTGAGTTTTAATAATTTAGCACTGACCTGCCGCAAAATTTTGAAAAGTCGTTAGTCTAACGGTCAATTCGATTTGGATGTTTTGTTGGAGCGACAATATAATCTAATTAAAGTTGTATGTTTGTCTTTATATAAACGGCGAAATGAAGAAAGCACTGAAGTTAGAAATATGGGGATGATTGAGGAGAATTGGATAAATTAATTTCAATTTTGGGTTTTAACAAATTGGTAGTAATCTGCCGTAAAATTTTAAAAAGTCGTTAGTTTAACGGTTAAGAAATCTATCGAGTGTGTAACGTTATATTTGAGGGTTTTGTTTTATTTTCATTTCTAGAACATAGTTTTTTTTTTCTACAAGTTATCTAAACTACGTATTAATAGGTTCATTTTTGTCATTCAAAAGAGGGTCAAAAGATTATCTAATATTCTATCGTAACAAAAAAGTTAAAGGCAGTAACGTAATTTTATAAAACAAAATTTTGCTATTTTTTATTTAAGCATCACCTAACATCCCTAATTAAATAATAATAATAATAATTAAACCTCTCTCCCCCTCTCCCCACTGCCGTGTTCTCTCTCACTCTTTTTCTCTCTCCTTCAACTTTAAAAACAAAAATAAAAGATTTTACATACACAACCACGAGTTGGTGGTCCAGTGGTAAATGACGAATTACGAGGTTTCCTTAAAACTAAAAACTAGAGATCTCAGGTTCAAAACCCGCTACTGTCTGTGGTGTGGAAGCCAGACTTGTGCTCAGGAGAAGGCTGAAATGTCTCTGTGAGTCTTTCCGGCCATCGGAAGAGGTGGATAACCGTGGCTTGACGCCAATTGTCTCCCTTTAAAAAAATATATTCACATACACTTTATGTGTGGGCATATACTAGTAACAAAAGCAAACTTGAGAACTCAAGCTTGCCTATAACGAAAATACACACCTAAAGTGAGACTACATATACACAAATAACTCAAACCTAAAATTTGGGTGTATTACAAGGACAAAACAATACACATTATCCTCAGATCAAGAACACCACTTTATACAATGAGGCGGGCTCACATTAACGTAGTGTTTTTTGTTCAATAATGCGTAATTATGTGCAAAAAAATTTCATGTGTCAAAATATTATTGAATCGATACGTAACATGATGATGAACCTGTTTTATATAAGTTATTCTTCTGGACCTGGCCCAACTCAAAAGAAGGAAAAAGGTTTCAATCAAAGAATTGGATCAATTAATTTCAATTTTGGGTTTTAACAAATTGGTAGTAATCTGCCTTAAAATTTTAAAAAGTCGTTAGTTTAACGGTTAAGAAATCTATCGAGTGCGTGACGTTACATTTGAGGGTTTTGTTTTATTTCATTTTCTAGAACGTACTTATTTCTTTCTCTAGAAGTTATCTAAACTACGTATTAATAGGTTCCTCTTTGTCATTCAAAAGAAGGTAAAAAGATAATCTAATCTTCTATCATAACAAAAAAAACTAAGAGTAGTAACGTAATTTTATAAAACAAAATTTTGCTATTTTTTATTTAAGCATCACCTAACATCTCTAATTAAAATAATAATAATAATAATTAAACCTCTCTCCTTCTCTCCCCACTGCCACGTTCTCTCTCACTCTCCTTCTCTCTCCAACTTTAAAAACAAAAATAAAAAATTTCACATACACAACCACGAGCTAGTGGTCTAATGGTAAAGCGTGAATTACGAGACTTCCTTAAAACTAAAAATTGGAGATTTCGGGTTCAAAACTTGTTGCTGGTGTGGAAGCTAGACTTATGGCCAGGAGGAGGCTGAAATGTCTCTGTGAGTCTTCTCAGCCCCCGGAATGGGTGGATAACCGTGACTTGTCACCAGTTGTCATCCTTTTAAAAAAAAATTCACATACACTTTGTGTGAGGGCATATACTAGTAACAAAAGCAGACTTGAGAACTCAAGCTCGCCTATAACGAAAATACATGCCTAAAGTGAGACTACATACACACAAATAACTCTAACCTAAAATTTTGGGTGTATTACAAGGACAAAACAATATACATTTTCCTAAGATCAAGAACACCACTTTAGGCTACCTCCAATCGAAAGAGGGCCAGATGGCTTGTTTTAGCCCTCTGGCCCTCCCAAAAATTAATATTTTAATAAATAGTGCATGACCATATTTCTTACCATCTCCAACTGAGACGCCAGATGGCCATAGGCCAAACATAGCCCTATGACAAAAAACCATCTCTAACCGAGGGCCAAAGGGCTATAGTATGGAATGTGAAGAATTGAAATAAAATAAGGTAATATAGTATGAAATGTTGAAAAATATTTGAGAAATGGTATAGGAAAAAAATTAGAAATTAAAAAAACGTCCAAAAAAAAAAGTTGGTTGACTGGAGATGGCTTACCTGCTGGCATGATTGGTTGGTTTTGGCCCGGTGGGGCCCACAAGCCATTTGGCCTAACTCTCGGTTGGAGACGGTTTTTGTGTCATTTCGGGCTATTTTCGATCATATGGCCCTGTCACATCCCGACCTAGGCCCTTACCACATCGCGGGCTTGACTCCGCTGTAGCACGATATTGTCCGCTTTGGGCCCCGACCATGCCCTCATGATTTTGTTTCTAGGAACTCACATGAGAACTTCCGAGTGGGTCACCCATCATGGGATTGCTCTCGCTCGAACTTGCTTAACTTCGGAGTTCTGATGGAATCCAAAACCAGTGAGCTCCCAAAAGGTCTCGTGCTAGGTAGAGATGGGAATATACATATAAGGTTTACAAGATTCTCACCCCTGGGCGATGTGGGATCTTATAGGCCCTCTGACTGGATCGGTTGGAGATGGCTTTATACAATGAGGCGGGCTCACAGTAACGTAGTATTTTTTGTTCAATAATGCATAATTATGTGCAAATTTTTTTCACGTAACAAAATATTATTATTTTTTTTAAAAGGAGAACAAACTAGTGACAAAATATTATTGAATCGATATGCAACGAGACGATGAACTTGTTTTATATAAGTTATTCCTCTGGACCTGACCCAATTCAAAAGAAAGAAAAAGGGCAAAACCGTCAACTACCCCCGGTATGTTGTAAGTGTACCCACGATACCCAATCTAAACTAAACCCCTCAAAAACCTATTTCTGAACCAATGGCTATGTTATCACCTCCTCTGCTTCTTCCTCTTCCTCCTCCCTTCTCGTCCCCCGGCCACCGTTTCGCTTCCTTCAAGCTCCCCAGAAATTCCACCAATGGACCTCTTCTCGGAGGACAGCTTGCAAAACGGCACGGTCTCGTGTTTGCCAAAGCTCCCTCCTATCTCTACGCCACCAGAGAAGAGCTCGACACTGTCAATATCGCCGAGGACGTCACGCAGGTTCTGCTCCAATTTTGTTCTTTCGTTTTAGCTTCTTTTTAACTCGCATTTGCTGAATTTTAAATCTTTTTTTATCTGACTAATCTCACTAAATGCTAAGAATTTAACTGGGTATTTCTGCAATTTCGGCTCTGTATTGGTATTTGGTTGGATTCTCAGAAAACTGGTACGAGAAATTTAGTAAATTAGAAAAACACCCTCAAAACTTTTTTTTATTATTCAAGAACTCACTTGGAGGGAAAAAAATAACAAAAAATCCTCAAAATTTTTAGTTTTAATGAAAAATGGTAAATAAATGTGCAAGTAAATAGTACCAAAAAAAGATAAAAATGTTATTTTTTTTTAAATAAACAGTACCGAAGTGATTTGTTAAAACACAAAAAAAAAAAAACCTTAACTATCTACTTGTCATTTTTTCTATTTATTCTCAGTTGTGAAATTCCTTTGGTGCCCTTCTCTCGTTGCAAAGTAAGAATGGCCTTTTTATAAAGTATCGAGCTTGAAGTGTTTTTCTTTAAAGTGGTGGTTTCTGTTGATTAATTGCTACGTAAAGTACTCAGAAATCAAGTGATAACAATTTTTACACTCTGGACTGTAGCAAGTTAGATTAGGAATGAGGATATCCGAAACAAAGTAGGAGTGGCCGAAATTGAAGAAAATATGTGAGAAAATGGGTTACGGTGGTTTGGACCTGTTCAAAGAAGGCCTACTGACGCTCTGGTTAGAAGATGTGACTACGGGACAGAGGTCGAGGGCCGAAGGGGTAGAGGAAGACCTAGGAAAATTTTGAAAGAGACTCTAAGAAAAGACTTACTTGGATCTAACGGAGGACATGACACAGAACCGAACGCAATGGTGTTCTAGGATTCATATAACTAACCCCACTTAGTGGGAAAATGTTTTGTTGTTGTTGTTGTTGGACTGTAGCAAGTGGATTATGGAAATGTAACTGTGCATTGTTTACGTGTTGGATTCAACATTCAAAATCCCCGTTGTACGATATGAATTTATTACTTCATTAGGTGATGTGGTCATGCGTTTTTGGCAATAGATTTCTCATTGTAGTTGCTGATCCCTTTTCAGTTTTCACAACAATATACGACATTGTCTTAGTCAGTGAATTCTGTATACATGATGGTTTACATACATTTTAACATATTTTGTTGACATGAATTGTTCTGATAAATAAATGTAGTTGATCGGGAGCACACCCATGGTATACCTCAACAAAGTTTCCGAAGGTTGTGTGGCAAATATTGCAGCAAAGCTTGAATCTATGGAACCCTGCCGAAGTGTCAAGGATAGGTAACCGCTGACTTATTAGTTGTCATTTTGCGCTGAAATCTTGCTAGATACTTTTACTGTTATTTGTCATGTTGATTTTTTTATCTTGTTTGCCATCCTGATTGTAGAAGATTGTTAAGGTATATGGAGCCATCTGTTGATTAAATTTTCGGACATAACTGCCCCATTTGGTCGATTAGTAGTAATCAATTTTTAATGGAACTAATTATCTTAGCTGATCAATTAGAATTGCCATGTCACTACATTTTCCGAGTCAGATGAACTCATGTTTTCTATGCTGATAACATTTCAGAATTGGCTGTAGCATGATATTGAATGCTGAGAAAAGTGGGTTAATATCTCCTGGGAAGGTGATGATAAGTTATTATACCAAAAATTTACTGTATAGATCAATATTTTACTTTGTCATCTGAGATGACTTTGCTAGTTACATGGACTAAGATGTTTTAGCGTTTGTGAAAGCCATGTTTCTTTTTAGGCGGTTTTTTTTCGTGTTTCTTTCTGCTGTACATAAGAATTATATTTCCTCTGTGTAACTATGCAGACTGTATTAGTTGAACCAACTAGTGGAAATACAGGACTTGGTATTGCTTTTGTTGCTGCAACTAAAGGATATAAACTTATAGTCACCATGCCTGCATCCATAAATATTGAAAGGAGGATTCTTTTACGTGCATTTGGGGCAGAGGTTGTTTTGACAGATCCAGAAAAGGGTTTGAAAGGAGCGTTAGATAAAGCTGGGGAAATTGTTCTCAGCACGCCAAATTCATATATGCTTCAACAGTTTGATAATGCTGCGAATGCAGAGGTAATTTCTATTTTCTCTGGATGCACATCAATAATACTATTGGTTATATATATCACATGTATATCGTATTATATAATTTTTTTTTTAGAAGAAATGAAAGAATTTTATATAAAAGAGAGAATTTACATAATTGGAAAAGAGTTCCACCTAGAACCGGGAGTAAGTAGCAAGGACCTTTAAGGTAATGCTAATTAAACAATGGTAAAGCTAAACCATATCATTTAACGGCTGCTAACAAATCCCTTATATCGTATTATGTAATCATGTACTTAAGATACACATTTTTGAAATACAGATCCATTTCGATGCTACCGGGCCAGAAATATGGGAGGATACCATGGGTATTGTTGACATATTTGTTGCTGCTATTGGAACTGGTGGCACTGTTACAGGCACTGGGCGTTACCTGAAAATGATGAACAAGGAGATAAAGGTCAGGATAGTTCATAATGTACATACATATTGCATAATTTGTCTCATAGCAACAATTGATTTAATAAGTTATGGAGCATAGTCATTTGAGTTATAGGAATAAAAAAAACAATGTTAAATGTTCATTATGGATACTGTTAGTGGTATTTCATCCTATCGTTGATACTGGATTTGAGAGGGAAAAGATAAACCCGAGTGTTAGCAAACGGTGAAGGTGGAACAACTTAGCACCTCTAGATTAAATATGAATGCTTGCTCTTACTTGGCTTTGATAAGTGGATATTAGGGTGACTTAAGCTTTATTGGTTAATGTGTTTGTAACTCTGGATTGCATGCGTTTGTAATTTTGATTATCCAGGTAGTAGGTGTGGAACCTGCAGAGAGGAGAGTAATATCTGGAGAAAATCCAGGTGAATTCACTGTTGCTTTTCGTTTTTATTACATCAATTTTCGGTTGTAGTTTCTTGTTCAATAATATGGTATGCTTGTACCATATAACTTATGTGAGCAATTCATGCAGGCTATGTACCAAGCATTTTGGACGTTAATTTGCTCGATGAGGTCATCAAGGTAAATGGATTTGTGTTGTCTCTTAGTTGTTATTATTATTGTTGTTGTCTTATCGTTTCTTGGCTTAGAATTATTGAATCAAAATTCTAGCTTCCCTCATTTGTTTCTCCTCCTCACCCTTTCCTTTCTTTCTCCACTCTTCCCCCCTGATCCTGTCTATGCTGCTCTTATTCTTTTCTTTTCTTCCCTCCCAACTGGTACTGAATGCATCATAAACCCATTCTACTGGGATGAGAATTTTGGATTACTTTGATAAGCTATGCGAATCAGCTTGTCGACAATCTTTTTTTTTTTTTTTAAATTTTTTTTTGGGGTGGTCTTGCTTCTCACTTGTCTGTTGGAAATATAATCTGATAAATTTCTTTAATCGTTTTTTATCTAAATGTAGGTTACCAACGATGAAGCTGTTGAAATGGCGAGGAGGCTAGCATTGGAGGAAGGCTTACTGGTAATTTGCGACTACTCTTCGATGTGGAGCATTTTATAAGCGACAAGCTCCAACTTCTTCTGAAACTTATCATATGTTTAACTTAGAAATCCACCCCATTTTTTCTGCAGTTCTATCCTAATTTAAGGTGATTTTGATAATTCAATATGCAATACTTGTAGGTTGGTATTTCATCGGGTGCTGCTGCAGCTGCTGCAATAAGTTTAGCAAGAAGACCTGAGAATACTGGAAAACTTATTGCGGTAAGGTTTTCTCTTTTGGTTACATTTGTCATCTTATTCTCCCCCTTCATGATTATATGTACAATTGGACTAGCTGTGCTGGGTACTATTAATGTCATTAGTTTGCGACATGAGCAACTTGTAGAGTAAGAAACTGATGCATTAGTTGAATGGTACAAAATTGTCCCGAAAGGCGTATGATGTATTTTGATCAAGCTAATTTCATTCTGAAATGCATTTGAGGCTTAACAAGATGAAGCATGCGATGCATCATTTTTTACACAATTGTGGGGCGGATTCAGATTAGATGTCTCGGACCAATCTTATGAGGAAGTGACCCGTGATTCCTCGTAGATTCTTCTTATTGCAGAATAAAATTAATGAAGCAAGAGTAAACTGTAAATCTGATCGAAACAATATTTCATTCATAACGTAACTGAAACAGAGCGAGAGAGAACTATCACTCTGACTGAACATACTTCATTCTAATTTATACTGAAACTGAGCGTGCTAAACGATACTCTTACCTGTTAGTGACAATTACAGTTGATTACATTTTGTACCATTCCAAACAGTATTGTGTCAATTTATTTTGGCTCGATATTTTGGCACTTATATTGGCATACAACATCTTATCTGGAACGCATATTTTCTAATATGTATCTATTTATGTATCTGTGTTTCATATTATAGGTTATGTTTCCAAGCTTTGGTGAGAGGTATATTCCCACTGTACTTTTCCAATCAATTTACGAAGAGGTTCAGAAGATGAAGGGAAAATAATCATATTATTCCAGACAATATATCATCGTAAAGATTGAATGCCATACAAATCGAGCAAATAGAAATCAACATGTTTCCGAGAAGGTAAATAGATTTGACCTGTTACACATGTGTCATATGAATGCTGTTGTGATTCGCTGTTGTGATTCACTGATGGCAGATTACTCCAGGTTAGGTTTTAAAGGAATGCAGAGAGTAGTTGATCAATGAAAAATCAGAAAAATTGAGGTTGGTTTTTAGATAGGATGTTTTGCCTCGTCTTGTCCATTTACTTCTTTCAGAAGCGGTCTTAATGTATGTTTTGATTCATATGTAGGATGCATATTTTGATTCGGATAGAAAATATATCTCGTTATACATTGATCAAAACCAAATTTAGAGAAAAACCTTGGGATGTTACACACAGTCGATCATCTTTGAACATAAATAGGTACTGATACAACGTGACTACGATGAGATGAAATTCCTTGTTCCACAGACCAACTCACCATAGTCCTGAGTAGGGATGGGCAAATACCCATTGGTTATGGATAACCGCGGTTACCCGCCCATTTAAATTAAACGGTTACGGTTATAGGTAATCGTTTAGATAAATAAACGGTTATGGGTATAACCGTTTACCTGCAAAATTTAAATGGGCGGTTATGGGTATTAACCACGATTATAAACGGGTAATCGTTTACCCATTTATTTTATATATGTAAAACTAACACAAACCATATTTTTGATCCAATAATACTTAGCACCCAATAAATTAGCAAGGAATTCATCGGTCATTCTCTCAATAACACTACTACAGGAATGATAATTCTCATCATCAAGGAATTGACCAAATTAATTTAAATTTTTTGTAGGTAACCGTGAAATTGACAGAAATGCTTTGACAAAAATGTCTTCTAAACAATTTTTGTAACCCAATAATACTTAACAAATTTTATATTTACCTTCATTGGTAACAATTAAAAATATCGTCCGTAAACTATTATTTTAATTATTGGAATGGTATAAGGACTTAAAAAATTAAAATATGGAAATGTATGATGAATGTACCTATAACGGTGTTTAATTGTCCAAAAAAATAAATTATGACAATTTTTTTTTTAATTTTCAAGTTGTTAAAAACATATAGACGGGTGAAAAAAGGGTAATGGTAAAAAAAAAAAGATAAACGGGTTAAAAAGGATAAATGGGTAAACGGGTATTAAACGGTTACGGTTAAATGGGTATGCGGTTATGGGTATGGTTAACCGTTTATAAACGGTTATGGGTATGGGTATAACCGTTTAGGTAATTACCCAACGGGTAAACGGTTATGCGGTTATGAGCATAAACGGTTATGGGTAAATTAACCGCGGTTACCCGCCCGCATAACCATTGCCCATCCCTAGTCCTGAGTCCCACTTTATCAGTATGATTGTTGCATCCGTTTGAGTTCACAACTCCATGTCACTTTCGTGCTTGAATCCACAACAACCACTTCGTTGTCATTTTTGTTTCTCTGAAATTATAACTTGAAGCTTCTGAATTCGCATTCATCTTAGTAATTGAAAAGTAAACTGTATTTTCCTTGTTTGTACATCTATGGATGGAAATCTTATTGGAAAATCCGTTTCTAAAGGATACGCACCTGTTTAGGGAAGATTTGGGATTTTTGTCTTTAGAGTTCTGGTCCTCCAAGATAGAGTTCTACATAATTGATCTTTCCAGGTTCAACTCAAATGTACGATGACATTTGCATTGAGTTTGATACTGAACTATAACTGACCCATCGTGTGTTTTAGCTGAAGTCCACCTCCCCTCTCCTCTCCATCATCCTTACTCTATTAGTGTAAAATATCGTTGTATAAAAAAATCCACCTCTAAAAAGCAGCTAAACAACCTCTTACCCCTAATCCCAAACTTGGTATGTGAAATTATTGAAAGACTAAAGGCCTTATGTAATCTAAGGTTTGTAAGACAACATTAATTTAGGGTAAGTTGGGAGATAAAGGCTTGTCACAATTTCCTTTATTGGAAGTGGTAATAAAGACTTGTCACAATTTCCTTTATTGGAGTCCATAAATAATGGATCACCTCAAATGTATTTTTAAGGAAATAAACAAAATTGATTAGCATAGCAAAGGGGAAACTTAAGCTTAGTTTATGTTTATGTTTGGGTGTGAACTTTTAAATATCAAGAGATTTGAGAGATTTTTTTTTAACTAGTGTATCCAAGTCTTTCACCTTACTAATCACTAGGTCTCTCGTATGACCCCGCAATATTTGGGAAGCAAGAAACTTTAGCATTTGCTAGGTGGGTACAGTAGGAGAGAGTCGATCCCCCATACCACTTGGGAGCAAACCAAATACCTAATCGCTGGACCAAGTCCTCTTAGGTGATTTGAGAGTAATGTGATAAAAATAGATCACGAAATTAGATAAGAGGGGATTATGGATGTACTTCAAAAGGATTGCAAAAGCACGTGAAAGGAATTAGCAAATGACTACTTAAAAGGAGTCATTGATGATTTCCTCATACAAGCTTTTGTAATGCTTGTGAATGTGCATATATAATCCCCTCTAGTATTCGCGTACATTTTTTACTAACTTGGCCTATCCATCGCTCGGACATAGCCTAAAAACACTAAAACCATATCTACACGGGGAGGGAGTTGCTTTCACATTCCAATACATAATCACGTACATATAAGGTTTGATCTTTGGACTACAATGGTAGCCTTATTCTCTAAACCAGCACAAGACGGTTAAAAAGAACCAAGAGTCCGAGAGTAGCCACCAACTACAAAATAGGCTACTTCTTTTCCACTCAGAACGATTAAAAAGGGCTCTTTGTCCGATTACTAATTTTTTTAATCACTATTGGTTTTATCAATTGGAAGAGGATCCTCTCCGGATCCACTTTGTGGGGATCCTAGGGATCCCCACATCCTAATAGTTCATCGTACATATTACAGCCAGTTTTCGTCAGACACTATTTGTGTTTAATTTTAAATGAAAATAATCAAATGATTTCTGAGCACATGATATACGATAAATGACTAAAATGTGGAGATCTCTAAGATCTCCACAAACTGGATCCGGATGGGATGCACTTCCATATCAATTCTTGTGAAAGTGTCGAGGGATGGACCACAACAAGAAGATGGCGTTTTGTGATTGGTTGTTGGTGTCTGTAAAGGCATGCACATACATGACATGAGACTCAATACCTTTTCTTTCCTACGTCCTGTGAAAGCTTTTTAGTTTTTCTCGCATTTGCATTGCTTGGAACGTACGTAGGAGGTGGGGAAAGAAGATTTATACTGGCACGGGTGGATCCATGATTTGAACGTTGGGATTTCAGAGTTAAAAGGTCAAGTTTTTCAATAGAAACAAAGCGCGACGTGTGAAAAAAAACAAAAAAAAACAGTTTATTCGCTAAGCCGTTTCTTTGAACATTTGGTGGGCTTGTTGTCGTCAGCCAAATCATATTGCGCACATGTCAACGGCTATCAACATATCTCGAAGTAATATGATAAGTGTTATCGAGAGAATTTATCAAATGCTTGTTGGAAAATATTATTATTTAGTTTATTTTAATATTTGGTATTTTGGGCTTAGCCCGTTAGAATTAGGTTTTGTTAGAGATTAGGTTTAGTTTATTATAAATAGGTTGCTTTGTTATTCATTAGAAATAATTCATTCACAATGTAGTCTCTAGGGTTTTTGTAGCCGTCTTGGCATTCTCAGTTTGTTCAATAAAATTCTTATTATTTTGTAGTCTTATTCGTTGCGCACTCTGATATTCAACTTGGTATCAGAGCAGGTTAAATCCTTAGGGAATTAATTTGTTTTGGGGTTGATATCGATTTGTTTGTTTGTTCACTATCAGTTTTGTTTTAATTAGGTTTTTGTTGTTTGAAAACAAAGAAAAAAAGTTGAACATGTTTGCTTGGGACTTGGGAGGCATCCCAAACCTGCACCGAAGCTGCTGTTTGCATCCGCTCCACTCTGTCATCAAGCCACAAACCCAACCCACCTGCTGCAACCTTTCTCTCTTGCAGAATCACCCGCACCGTTTCTGCACCTGGATCCGTCTCCACCACCCTACACCCGCGAAGAATAAAAAGGCTGATGTTGTTGGTTTGCACGGTAAAAAAAAAAAAGAAAATAGAAAGGATCTTGCTGCTGCTGTTGTTTGTTCGCACAGAAAAGGAAAAAAAATTGGATTGTTTATTCTTTGTTTGTTTGTTCGGAAGTTGGAATTTCCACTGGCATTGGAATCTTGCACTGGCATGGAAATCTTGCACTGGCATTGAAATCTTGCACTTGCACCGGTGAAATTTCATATGGGTATTGGCATCGGCATCGGCATCGGCATTGGCACTAGCATTGGAATTTGGAGTTTTGCATCCACATCTACTTTGGCAAACCCATGTCGTGAACCGTCATGAGTTTGACCGGGGGTGTTGGAAAATATTATTATTTAGTTTATTTTAATGTTTGGTATTTTGGGCTTAGCCCGTTAGAATTAGGTTTTGTTAGAGATTAGGTTTAGTTTATTATAAATAGGTTGCTTTGTTATTCATTAGAAATAATTCATTCACAATGTAGTCTCTAGGGTTTTTGTTAGTCTCGTTCATTGCGCACTTTGATATTCAACTGTGCTCACAACGCAACTTGTCGAGTGCTGCCAAAATATACCTAGCAAGAAAGGAGGCAGTTGTCAAAGTGGCAGCATCTTACCCGCAAATTCACTGGTTCCTAACTTTACCAACGAGCGTAAGAACGATGCACTCAGGTTTCGTCTCGAACATCTCCTTGACCTATCCTCTTTGATTCGTAGGTAGGGTTTGAAGGCTGCAATGAGAGATGAGATATCACAGCTTTTGCTTGCTTCTCACACCGAAAGGTAAATAAGCTCACGTGTAATTTGCTCACATCATTTTCCCCAAAAAGGAGGGACTTTTGAGGCAACCAATTACCTCTTTAGCATGCACGAGACTTTCGTCACGCAAATCCCACTGTCCCCGATTTTTGGATAATTGTTTCCATTTTTGTTCAAGTATATGATTAATTCTGTTCCCAAAAAAAAAAGAGCATATGATTAATTAACATAACTAAATACACGTAAGAAAAAAGAAGAAAGTTTTAACGAAACATTCATGATACTGTTCATTTTTAACGAAAAACACATTTTTACCTTTTCCTGATACTATTTACTACACCTTTATTTGTCATTTTCATTAAAACTAAAGTTTTTTTTTAGATTTTTCGTTAGTTTTTCTAAAAAAGAATAATTAAAAACTTCTCGTTTGAAAGTGCTTTTAAAATAGCTAAAAGCGAATTTGGTGAAAATATTTTTGAAACCAATCCTTAATCAAATGCAAGTGAATCCTATAAAAGAACTTGAAGTGCTATCGAAACCCAAAAACAATTTTCTCTAAAAGCCCTTTCAATTATTTTAAAAACACTTTCAAACAAGCAATTATCTCTCTACTTATTATTTGAAGTATACGAGTAGTTAATTACCATGGAGCAATTACCTATAAACTTGAATAACAGTCAATGTACCTACCTACATTTCAATATATTTACTCAACATTAATTGCACATAAACTTTACTTGGGCCAATTAGCTCTTGCGTCCTGCTAGCATCAAGGGCCACCCAATAAATGAAATGTTTTAAGTCAATTTATTTTCCATTTTAAATGTAGGGTTTGGAACTCAATTTTGTTATTGTTAGACTGCATTCAACCAGGTCACTGGCAATCGAACCAACTCAGCATTAAGACCCTTGTCATTTGAACAATAAAACTTTCACACACCAAAGATAAATGATGATCAACTTTCTTGAAATATTTCATCCATTCACAAAGAAAAGAAATAAAAGTTACAATTAACAAATTAAGACCCTTCATTTGTTGTAGTTTTTTCCTACTAGGGTTATGTTTCAGCAGCTAGCTTAACCTCTTCAGGCATAGCTAGCTAGCTAATGAAACTCAAACCAAGGACATTGGAGACAATTCCATCATCTGATCATCTTCTACATGTCCAGCACTTTCGTCCAACAGCCACTTCTCAAGAAACGTCAATGGAGGATTGTTACAGTTAGTACTACTGCTTTCACATCGAAGAATTTGCTTACTCTTCTGATCCTCGTCGCGCAGAAGATGGCGATCATGAATGATTTCCCCATTGTTTGGAACTTTAATACTAAGTTGTGACACCTTGTTGTTAGAATAAGTAGATGAATCACAAGTAGACCTGTCCCACGAAGCAACATTGTTCAAGTTCTCATACGACAGAATCGATTCAAACTCCTCGTTAGATGCTAGATTTCCTGTGCTAATACCGCTAGGTTTTCCTTGATCATTGTCACATGCAGCATGGTGTTTGAGGCTGGAGGTCTTTGGAGTTGGGGAGGATCTCATCCAACCTTCTAGGAGCCGCGAAATGTTCTCGGTGCTTGAGGCGTATGTGGAGGAGGATTGGTTGTTCCTCAGAATAATTGAGGAGGCATGGCTTGGCATATTATCTAAGCTCCCTTCACTCAAACTCCTCCTTGATACATTTACGTTAAACAGATCATCTGACGTCGTGTGAGGATCAAGAGCTGATTGAAAGTTCTTCAGCTTCTTCTTCAAGTGAGTGTTCCAGTAGTTCTTTATGTCGTTATCGGTTCTCTGTGGCAGGTAGGAAGCTATTGCTGCCCATCTGCTCGATCAAACCAGTATTAATTATTCATATAATTAAACTCACCAATTAATACACACCTATAAGAATAAAAACACACACACATAACCTTTTTCGATAGCAGAATGCATTTTCCGACAACATTTGATTCTCGCTAATAACAATTAGTGTTGTATTGTTGACAATCGTCGATAGAAAAAAAAAAGTAATGAACAAAGAAGTTTGAAGATGAATTACTTGTTACCCAATAAAGCTTGCAAGTGAATGATCATCCCTTCTTCGTGAGGTGTGAAGTTACCGCGCTTGATTCCTGGTCTGAGGTAGTTAGTCCATCTGAGTCTGCAACTTTTGCTGCACCTCATCAACCCTTTTTGCACCCAAAAATTCAAGAAAAATTTGAATAAATGTACAAAACATCAATTCACAAAGAAATTAAATAAGATAAAATCATAACACATAATATAATAGTAACTAATTCGCATGGTAATAGCTTAAAACTTTTTTCTGACACAAGCTAAAATAGGGAAGAGAGAAATCGAACTCAAGACCTCGAGTGAAAAGACATGCTGAATTTTATGATAAAATTACCAGTGTTGGTGGGAACTGATCTCCAATTTCCAGGACCATGCTCTTGGATGTAAGAAACAAGGATGATGTCCTCCTCTGGAGTCCACGGACCCTTCTTGATTCCAACCTTCTCACAGCAAGGAGGCCTTACCATCTCTCTCTCTCTCTCTCTCTCTATATCTCTGCCCTCTCCCAAGGACCTAAAATACAAACCCAAACATTTCAAATAGTACTCTTATGTTATGAGCATATATATATAATATATGTATATGTATGCATGCATGTATATATATTTATATGCATGAATGTATGCATGCATGCATGTATGTCTATATGTGTATGAATTGATCATCTACCGTGCTGAGTAATCTGCCCTTTGTTATTTAACAACTTTAATACAGCCTATCAGTAGGAACCAAAGTCAGAAGGGGAAGTCGATCAAGGATTCGGGTCCTCTCCGGATCCATCCAGTCACCCGATCTGGCCGTCCATAATAGATCGTGTGGCTAAAAATGAACTCTCTTCAACTGGTGGTGCGTTAGTTCAAAGGATTTATATATAGGAAAACTAATGAAAATGACTTGAAAACTTTGAGTTTTAATGATAAGAACAAAATAAAGAATAAAATGAATAGTACCAGAATTGACTTTTTAGTGTAAAAATGTGATTTTTCGTTAAAGTAAACAGTACCGGAAGCTTTTCGTTAAAGTACCCTTTATATATACGTGCCGTGACAAATTTCAAGACAAAGTGATTACAGTTTTTCTTTTGTTCAAAGCTCGATCAAATTTGTTTTTAGCTAAAATTGAATCTGAGACTTGTTACTTATAAATGAATAAAAATTTCACTAAAATTAAATCTAAGACTTCTTACTTATAAATGAATAAAAATTTCACTAGACTATAATATTAAATAACTTATGGGTTTATGCTTTTCAATTTTATACTAAATGACGTGTGGGTTCATGCTTTTCAATTTTACGAATTTTTCCCAAAAAAAAGTAAAAAAAAGATGCTGCATTCCGTGTTGCCTTGGACTTGTCCTCCAGCCCTTTACTTTTGGTGATCAGAGAATAAATTAAACAAAAACAACGAACATAATTAAACGAAACATGTGAAGGAGAAAATGGGACCCTAATATTGGACTTGTGAAAGAAATAAACGCACACATGAACGTGTAGAAGAAATACAGAAAGAAAAATATATACAAATTGTACCCGTCAATACACACACAGTGGAATTTGAAGAAGCATATCAAACAGGCTGATAAATATTCATGGCAAACGTTTATTTCCTCAAATAAATACCACGAGAACAATCTGTCCTATTGATTAAAACGACGGCGTACAAATTCAATATAGAAGTTACACTACCAACTGAATGATTCCACAGACTATTCTGGCCTCCCCGTATTCCTATGCAAAAGGATTTCCTCCGATGGACGCGACAGGTTCCTGTGTTGGGACATTCCTGCAAAAATAAGCAACTTCACATTAATCCATGACAGCAACAACGTCGAGCATCAATCTCTCTTCCAACGCCAGCCAAGTTGAGTTTCTAAACTCTATCAAGCATCGTCGTACTGTAGTTCTGGATATTAAACTTATCAGGTAAAGTGGAAAGGCAATCTCTAACTCTAACCAGTGACTAGAGACAGAATATTGTGTCCATCATATACATCGTACACAATCTGACACAATTACATCAGGTGGTGCTGCAAGTAAAACTGACCCTGTTCGAACATGTTCCTTAAGCTGTCAGAACTGGTCATATGTAAACTCATGAATCAGAAATGATTTTCGTTTGATCATTCCTTCTCGACTCAATTAGATAGGGGAAAAACTTTGGTAGGGACACCCCAACGACGTCATCCATAGCCCATAAGGCACCTCTCACAAAAGCAAGGGACCCCTTGTAGTTTGGTCCCACTCGACTCCACAATGACCCCATACTAAGTTTCTCTCATGTTAGAGGCCCACTTTCATCAACATCATCCATCCTTCCTCACCTAGTTATTACCCATTTTCCTTTAAGATGTCAACCTGGTTATTATCCGGTTTTGGTGATGGATTGGTGATCCTCTACCATATGAAGTTGGTAACCACACAAATCTATGAGAAATATAATGGGTCTGCAATTTTAGACCTTTGTCCTAAAAGATAATGAAGAGGCTAAAAAATAATAAGTAGAACATAAACTTACGGAATCTGAGAACTAAGTGCATGCCCTGGCATATATGTCAAACCACCTACATCAAATCAAAATCGAATTGAATGAAAAATATAAGATTGTTATGACCAAATATTTCAATGGTCCTGCAATTTTCTCTGGCAACCAATTGATGCGTCCAACAGCCATTGGATTAAAAAATATGCAACCCTGGTTGGCAATAGTTGCAGGAACAAAACAAAAAAAAGAAATGAATGTAGCATTTTGCTGGCACTGAAAAGCTTACCTTCTGCTGCAGCTGGAATATACGGCATCCCAGACACTGGATTTTGCGGAAACCATGACTGAGGTGCATCGAAGAAAGAGGATTGCAAATGAGCATTTGGGAGAGAGGCTTGTAAGGAGTTCATGTCCAAAAACTGAAAGACAACACAAAGACAAAATTAGAACCGAGAAATCTAAGAATTGTGTACGTGTATGGTAGTTGCTGGAAAACGCCATTCCAAATCCTTCTTTAATTTAATTGAAACATGATACAGTCTAAGAATGATATGGTAGACACTGATTAGTACCAACTCATTACAGTTTATCAATCACACCACTTCCATTGTCACTTTCCCATGAGATTTAAATTACATTACGGGGAGAATGAAAAATGCAACAAGTGTCTTATTCAGCTTAATTTTCAGCATGGATCTTAGAGGCATACGTAGATTGCAGCGTTTATTACACTAATAGAACTCATCTTTCACAGAAAGTACAGTTCTGATATCAACTATTTGACTTTAGTTATCAATTCACAACTCAACTTTTACAGGAAGTACAATTCATTTCCGCTATCAACCAAGCATCATGCTATGGTTATCCTTGACAGTTGACAGTTATGGTAAACAAATAATATCATAACTCCACCCATGCCCTTAATCAGCTTCCACATTCAAAATTCTCACGCAAACACACAAACACTCACATAAAGCTGATAGAAATAATGAACAATGCACTATAATAGAAACACAATTTCACCAAAAGAACAAAGGAAAAAGAGGCAATCCCTGATACAACTAACAAAAACATACCATACTGTTCTGATCCAGATCTGTATCATAAGGAAGATCAAATGGGTTATTTGATTTCTGGTCGGTGGCATGGGACTTAATTTCTCCCTGTAATTTCGGGTGGAACATAAGAGATTAGTATACAACTAAGCACATTGAAAACCACAGGAAAGATGCTGAAGGAAATTGAAGAGTAAAAACCATTTGAGGAAGCACTTGTGGAGTATATGATTGCCCCATCACAGCATGTACGAGCAGACCAGGATCACGGGGTTCACCTTGGGAAACAGCTTCCCGAATCCCATCTTTACCAGATCCCTGCAAGCAAATTCCATACAATCAGAGGAAGAAAATAAATAATTTGAGAGAAATACAAGGTTGACGCAGAAACCTCAGAAATTTTGAATCCAAAATCATGGTCACCAGCTGACGAAAGCTTGTCTGTTACTCCTGGTTCACTGCCCTTCTTAGTGACCTCCAATGGATGATGGCCAATAGAATCTTCGAAAGCATTCCATGACTACTCAAAAACAACATATTTCATATTAAGGCATGCCACTATCTTAAGTAAACTTTATATTCATTATAATAAAGAAATTAAAAATAAAATAAAAAAAACTCAAGGGGGTGCGAAGTACATAGAAAGCCATCATGATCTTTTAAAAACCATTATCCAGAAGATCCAAATAAGTAATTGATGCAGGTGTAGTTTATCATAATGATGCTTACCTGAGTGCCTCTAGTATTGGGATCTGTGACATTGTGCAAACTATCGCTCCATGGACTAGAAACATCTGAAAAAGGTCCATGACTACTAGAGTACTGAAAGGATGGCCATTGCATGCCTGTGTTTGATGACGAGAATGCATCAAAATTTCCAACAGAACCTCCACCATTGGAAGCTACATTGGCAAGGGTAATATTTTTGGTGGATGGAATAGAAGCTGAGGGTTGAGGTGCATCAAATGTTGCCCATCCTTCACTTTTAGGGGCAGCCTCGGCTACTTGTTTATCCAAGGTTGGAGTTGACTGCTGCTGAGGAAAATCAGCAAATAACTCCAAGGAAGGTTGGAAAACTTGAGGCTGGTCTATATTTATACATGAATTGGAAGATGATATAGACGGTTGAAACAAATCTATGGATGGAGACAAAGAAGATGCTGCTGGTAACTGGAACAAATCAATGGAACTAGCTGCAGACGAGACTTCTGGTTTAACTGAGGCCTTGAAAAGGTCCAAATTGTCACTAGTTCCAAACTGAGATGATCCTGTAAAAGAAGTTGATTTATCCGGGAAGATTACAGTAGCTTGTTCAGGTTCAACAGCATTTGTTAAACCGCCTGAATTAAATGACTTGAGCGACATGGAATAGCTATCCAACGAGACAAAATTTCCTGAGGATGCAGTTCTCTGAACAAGCAACAAATGTCAGGTGATGGAAAAACTAAGGGCAGCATAATATGATTATCAAATAGAAATGATGCTAACCAGATAGGATAGTGCACATATATATACAGAGAAAAGCAGAGAATTAAGGTACACACACCAATTAACATAGCACTAATAAAATGAGGAAATAACTCCATTCAGTACGAGCTCAACTTACCAACACCAACACTTAACTAATTGAGCGATAAAAAAAAATGCCTATCCAAAGAAGACATGACCCAAATCATTGACTACATGTATCTGATCTTAAATTTTCCCCTTTAAGCCCCAAAGACAGTTAAATTTATTTTAGCTGGATACAGATCAATGTTACAGAAATATATATATATATATCCGCCCTACAAGAATATTAAAAGGTACACAGCTGTAATTTTAAAAGGAACCTTGGATACAACTAATCATTTGAATGCTAAAAGCAAGTCTACAAGAAAAAGACCTGCGGACAGGATATCCCTGCTGCATCTCTCTTGACATTTGCCTCTGGAAATGTATCCTTTGATTGGTGTCTTACTTCATTTAGATTATCCCATGAAGGCACGAAAGTGGGGCTACTGGATCCAGTGTCCTTCGGAAAATTAGGAGACTGTACTCCAGATCTAGACAAATCACCTCCACTTGACACAGAGAAATCTGAACCTCTTGAACGAGAGCCCTCATTCGCAAACCTGTCTTCGTACATTTGCTCACTTAAACGGCCAGCACTGTAGACAAAACTTGACATCTTTCCTTCATATCGACCTCGGTCAGAACCAGGCTTCCTAGTAAGTGCAGCAGCTTGTTTTCCATACCGTCGATCTTCATACTGATAGTCATAAGGTGGGCTTTGAGAATAGGAATGATAAGAACTAGCACGTCTTGTCTCATCTTCATGGATTCTATAGGTCTGCAAGGAATAGCACAGATTAGGCCCATAACCTTTGCAGAAAAAAATAAGTCATAGTGTAACATAAGGAGATTATTGGTGTATACAGTTACAGCCTATTCATTCCATTCTTTTGATGGTGTGCATGATGTCTCTGAATCTTAAAGAGAAAAACCAATTAGTTGTTTTGTAATTTCTTCAATAGAACCAAATACGAACTGGAGCAAGCCGCTGTATATGCCCCACGAAACAAATGAACTGGACAGTTATGAAAACTCTTTTCAATTACAGTCAATTTTACCGCATTATTACAAATAAATATTTCCTTAAGTAAAATCTTATCATAACAATATAATATATATCAATTGTGAGAGAACCCACATTAATAATGTAAAGCCTTGCATAGTAGTATATAGTAAATACTATCATTGGCACTCCTTTTGCCTTTTCACTCTCTCACTTATGTACCTCAATTTAGCACGGATACACAATTTTATGTTAACAAAAATCTATTACTTTTTTCAGAAATATCAATGTTACCACTGATATTTTTGCAAATCCAAACTACCAATATATCTGCCCATATCAATATTTTAATCCATACTATTACCTGCACATCTCTTGGAGGCTTTTCAGAGGTCCTGCCTCCAGCATATTTCTTATCTACATATACACTTCTTATGAACTCACGGATTTTATCAGCCTTACTGCAAGAAGAAAAACATGACATAAGTGTACACCCCAAAAATGTGCATGCTGAACATTGTAGCAATTCTATTACCTGCTATCTGGCAATCGTTGCCTTTGAAGGTCCCAATCCTTCAAATAAATTTCCCTTGCACGCTGGTAAGAGTGAATGACCCTTTAGAATAAAAACAAGCAAACATTTTCTTCCAAAGAAAATGAGAATTCAGCATGTACCTGGTTACCACCATTTTGAAGTGCTTCAACTTCTTGTGAAGTAAACTTGGACATGGATACTGACTTAACACGATGAGTAAATTCCCGACTATATCACAAAATAATATGTATAATTCTATTAGGGGAAAGAAAGGAAAGGTGGATAGAGCATATGTACAACATACCAAACAGGAAAAGACCGCACGTTAAAATATGTGAAGAGACACGGTGTTTACTTGAAGGAAACTACATTTATGTTGTGTTTGGATGATGAGCTTAGGCTACATAAATAAGAGATGTGCTACAAAACATATAGATGGATTTCAAATGACTAGATGCAATGCACTGAGAGGGATTTATAAATGACTACTTTGAAGGAGTAATTTGAAAATCCTTTGTTTAGTGGCTTTTTAATGCTCATGTATTGCATTTTCAATCCCTTTATCTAAATGCTTTGTAGTGTATTTCCAACTAATTTAGCCTAAATCTTGCATCCGAACAGAATGTTAGATGTTAATGTGCTCAACGTTTGGAGATTCATTTTACCATGAATGGTACTGAAAGTTGGAAGGTAAAGATAAGTGCCAAACTCCAAGAATTAATGATCCGAGCATACAGAAATATATTTCCATTTCAAAAGCTTGATCTAAAGTATTGATACATAAGAAAAGGAAAATTAACTAAGAGTACAAAAAGCATGTGCGATACCATCCTAATGTAAGAATCAACCCTCATCTACTGTCATCTTGTGCTTACCCCCTAATCATTTAAAAAAAAAAGAGTACCACCTTAGGTAATTTATAGTTGATCTATCTTTCAAAGGACTTTCAATACATTCATCTTCGAAAGAAGCTTACAACCGAAAGAGTGAAATGAAGAGGAAATCTTCACTTCATCCAAAGCTGAAGCCTGAAATACACTGATAAATTGAAAAAGCCCTACTCAGTTATGATATCAGATGGTTTAGAACCTATAACACATTCTACGCAACTAACCAAAAGAATTCAACCTAAGAAACCTAGTTTACTCTTAAATACTAAAAAGGCTATTTGAAGTTTGCGACGTTTTGGCTAGGTAAGAGCTTAAAAAAAAATTAACTAAATTTGATGTGGGTAGTGGTACGTTTCACACCAATCCATTCAAAGCCTGACTTGCACCTAAGTACAAAATCCTTGGCACTTGTTTAGTTGGTCCATCAACCTTATTAGAGAGCATTTAGACAGCACAACAGCACTTGGTGAATGGCCCAAGAGGGAACTCAACAATCCAGCACATTCCCAAGCCCAAAGTATTTATTATGGAGCCAGACGGACAGCTTCTGCACTTGCATGAGTATCATGCATCTCCTATAGTTAAGGTAACCCTAAAAAAAGAAATTGGCCCACTTCAGAAACAATCAATTGTATTTTTGTTGTGAGCATAAACCATCAGTCATTCTGTTAATTTCAATACATTCCTAAGAGAACAGTCTCGTGTATGTTCAGCAATAAAAGAGGGGAGAGAGATAGTTGTTTAAATCACATCGATCGGGTTTATTTTGTGGACGTTATATAAGGAATGCAACTTGATGCCAAAAAGTTTCTAAAGTGATCTTGTTAATAACAGTATATATGGACAAGTATTAAGTTGGTATAAGGGATGTCTGTCTTATTTAACACTTTAAATCATGTCCCCACAGTTGAATATTTTTTTTACTTGTAGAATAAGCTAAACTTCCAAGAGTCATAGTTAAGTAGCCTAAAATTTTCTTGTTTTTTCCTCAAAACCTCTCCCATATGCAACATTGTGAAACTTGCTCTACAATTGCAGAGGCTGATAACAAAGTTTATAAATCAGCGTCAAACAACAAGCATGGTAACCAAAACATGTTAAAAACATTGAACAGTTGACCAGATCATTCGTGATTTATAAACATCGAAAATCCTATCTTGCAATAATTTCCCTTACAATATCCGTGTATGGGTCTAAAAATTGAAACTTTTGTAGTCAACTAAACTTGTACACATTTAGAATCATATAAACATTCCATATTTTACCTCAATCTTCGATATCCATTTTAGTGGCATTGTTGCACGATGGCAGCAAGCAGAGTTCTTCGACATCCTCAAATTTCTAACTAATAATTATAGCATAGTAAAGATGTTGCAAACTTTAGATACAATTGACCAAACAGAAAACCCTCAGTCAAAAATAGCAGATTAGGAAGGTTTTCGGTTTTCCATTTCCACAAAAAAAAACTAACTCCGGCGTGCAATCTCAATACGCAAAATTAGCAGAACAAATACACTCAGTACGAGGCAAAGATTATGCCCTAAAAACAAGAAATTGGATCAAACGATTTTGAAAAAACTCACTGTATGCCACTGCAAGTCATGCAAACGAAAGTCCAAAAATATGTGCAGACGTATTGAGGACCCTGCATGTACAAACCAAAATACATTAAATAAAATCCTCCAGCTGCGAAAAACAAAATAACAACCCGAAAAAAAAATCGAGAAAACTAGAGAGAGGGGAGAAGTACCACGCCATTACAGTTGATGCATCGCCGATTAGGAGGGAGCTTCATGAGTCCCCGAATGATCTTCTCGTTTCGCTCTTCCTCTTTTCTGCTTCCCATTTCTGAAACAAAATCAAACCCTAGAACCAGAAGAAGCAGAAGAAAACAAAGAACGGAATCGGAGGGTGGATTCGGAAATGCACTCCTCCCTCTTCTCTCTCTCCTCCCTCTCTCCTCCCTCTCTTTCTCTCTCTAGAAGGAACAAGGAAGGAAGGAAGGAAAAGGCTTTAGGGTTGGTTCGGTTGGGGTTTTTTGAATTTGGGAGAGAGGGGAACGGAACTCTGGAATCTGAATCCGCTCCTTTCGAGGACCGGACAGCAAGCGCTCGCCGCCTTTTCTTTATAAATTTTAATTTATTTTTATTTTTATTGGCATTTGTAAAAGATTATTAATTAATTAATTAATTAATATCTAAGTAAATAAACGATCAAGGTTCAAACAAAACGCACGCAGCTCATAAAGGTGTATTCAATTAAAAAAAACTTCAAGCAATGTCGTTTTTATTTTCGCACACTTGTTTTCTCTTTCTACTCGTTGTATGCACATTAGTAATAATAATTTTAAGAAAAATAATTGATCCGCCTAGTAATAGTGAGAAGTTTTCCATCACGGTTGTATTTTCATTAGCAACACTAGAGTAGTTTTAGTAGCCAACCAAATATAAACATGTTGCATATTAATACGATTTCATCATTGAAGATCGAATGGTGAATAAGATGATTTTTCAGGGACAGAGTTAAAAACTTTTTTTAATATGAACGGCCTTAATCTCCAGTTATACTTGAGAAATAAAACGCATCATAGTAAATATCTTCTACAACTTGCATTGCTTTTTTTTTTTTTTTTTTTTTTGGTCACATGTGACCTATTTTGTTTCAAATTTGATGGTTGCCTAGCTAACTTTTGAAAAGTTACCCTAACGGTCGAATGTCAATTCATGATTTAATTTTACTTCTACCTTTTTTTTTTGTTAGGCCAAATTCTTACTTTTGTTGTTCAATACATTTCTATATAAGTAAGTTATATAGCCAAATAAGTAAAAACATTTATCTCCGCATCCATGGTAAGTATTCACATCACCATTTGGTAAATACAAGAATATGCAACGTGTATTGTGCTTGAAAAATGCGTAGGTGTATTATTCAGCAACTTTATTAAAAAGATATTTTTTAAAACTCGGCCTTTTTTTTTTCTAATTATCAAAAAAATATTATATATGTGTATTGTGGCGACCCGTTTCGAATAAAAATATATTTTCTCCCCGAATGTATGTAAAATGACGATTACGCCCTCGTTGGCTTAGTGACGTGGATGTACGTATATAGTTTAAATTATTTTTCCCGATGACATGATTAAATTGTACTGACGTCACGAGACCGTCGACTCAAGTTAAGATCGAATCAGGTTCGTAGTGGAAATGTTATGAAGGAATAAGGGAATTTGAGTTGGTTTTCTTAGTTGGACTCAATTGTTTGAGCCCTAAACAATGCAACCCAATTAGGGCTTGAGGCAATTTTAAATTGGCCAACCTGTGACCAATTACACACACATACACGTGTCAAACCTCTCTCACACTTTCCTTCTTTCTCGAACACTCTTTCCGTCTGTACAACCCGTAGCTCACCACACCCAACCACCCTCAAACTTCACAGATCGAACACGAACTTCACATCATCGTGTTCCTCGTGGTCTCACAATCCTAGTGATACCTTTGGAACGAAGAACAGTTCACGGGAACTCAAGAACTTAGGTTTTCTGGCGGGGTGCCCTGTTTCCCCAACGTGATCGTCAAAGTTTCACTTGGTTTTGAGACTTAAAAAGGTATTCACGTGACTCCCCTAGTGGTTAAGACTAGTTTTGGTTAAGGTTGGACGTCAGAATAAGCTCGACTGTGGGTTTCCAAGTTTAGTTGGTTTTTCCAAGGATTTTTCCGGCTAGTTTCTATTAGATTTTGGACTTCAAATAGGTAAGCTTGTGTTCTACTCTCTGAGACCTTCAAATCCATATAGAATTCGTGACTTTTGGTTGAAAAATGAGTGAGATACTGAAGTTTGAAGTTTTTCTAGAAATCGGCGATATAGACGGCGGGCGGCGACGAATATCCGCGAAGCACCGGAGAAGAAATGAGCATATTCCATCAACTTTGATGGAATATACTGACGGCGTCAAGTAAAGTTAACGGTATATGCTACTATTTAACAGAATATTCCCTAACGCTGTTAGGGATTCCGTTAGTGTATCAGGCACGTGCCTACATGTGGCCGGCGCATAAGGGTGTGTGGGACGTTAGAAAATTATTCTAAAAATATGGGGATGCTTGTGGTGTTGAGTAGGCCACAATGGTATATTCAAACATCCCAATTGAACAACGTATGAGAAGTTATTACACAGTTTTGGTTATGTGCTTAAAATTAATGTTAAAATAGTTGTTTCACATATAGGTGAGACGTTTCCGGAGGATGTGCGCAACTAGGCGATACTCTTGGGTTACGACTCTGCCACATACCAGTGGGTTTTCTATATATATGCTTTACATTATTCCCAAAAATTGTTTTAAATAGATTTACTTTTTTAAATGTCATGTCAATTGCATTACACTTTAGTATATGCATTAGTATAGATATGCATATTATTGCATGATGCTGCGGACACACATGTAAGCTTCAGGTGAGTACATATTGATAATAATGATTGTAGTGTGTATGGTTATGTTGAGATACATTTAGTGCTCATTATCCTGCACCCCGGTGTTAGTGCTCCACCCGAGGCCAGGGTCTAGCCTTCACGTGATCGTTCACCTCCCGCATTGCATGCTCACCTTGGATCCAAGGCAGGTGTGAGCTTGTCGTACATACCACATTAGGTGGTTTCGACTCGTAGGTGACTTGCGATACTTCGCACAACCTTCACGTGATCGTAGCATTTGAACATACCTATGTACACCCACCCAGCATGTCGTACATACCACAATAGGTGGTTATGACTCATGTGCAGGATTTGGTAGATGAGCTATAGGTTCAGCCGTACATGTCACGTTAGGTGACTCCGGCTGACATATCATTTTACATTGATTTATTCCACCTGATTTACTTATTTCATTGTTGAGATACTTGACATGGTATATACTTGGTTTTCATTACTCTTGAACTTGATTTCTATAAATACATATGTATTACTATTTTCTGAGAAATTATACAGGTTTTACGGTGAAGGGTTATTACTTTTGGAAAGAGAAATGGTTTTGAAAAGCTTTGTTTTTGTTCACTCATGTTTTCTGTTTTGCGCCCCTCCAAGTTCTAGGTAGAAGTTTGTGTTGGTGGCTTGCGATAATTCTACGGCGGTTCTGACAGACTTCAAATAATGTAGGAACTTTATTTCTTTCATATTCTGTATAATTAATATTTAGTCTGTTGGACTGCATTTAGGTTACTTGTGCTCTGAGTATGTGAATTTATACTTTAAACACCTGCACTCGTACTTATATACTTACCTAGTGTAAAGTAGTTAGTTTGTTTTTTTTTTTATTTACCCACATTTTCATGTTGCTATCACTTCCGCACTGCACCCATGGCTATGTCATCCTCACGTAACGGCCATCATGCCTCGATTTAGGTCAGGGTATGTCATGTATTATTCAGCAACTTTGTCAAAAAGATATTTTTACAACTTTCTTTTATTTTTTTTATTAATTGTAAGCATAAAAGGCATAACTTTATGTGTATTATAGAAAAAGAATTAGTCTAAAAAACGCGTTTGTTGAACAACAAAAATAGGGTGAATTATTTATTTACATATTGTGTACAATTTTTACTCAATAGTGTTAAACATGAAAAATATGTATCTACATGTATAAGTTTAAAAAAAATTAAGTATTTTTAAAATATGTACTTACCTATATTAAGATGTGAATTTACAGTGAATTGTTATTGACATTTTAAAAATCTCATTTTACATTCCTGTATGTTTTTTTATCTAAATATATAAAGTTTGGAGTGTAAAATAAGAAATTTAGAATGCCAATAATAATTCTCTTTATGAATTATCAATTAAAATTTATAAAAACAAAACTATGCAAAATAATAAAATAAAAGGAGAAAAAATAGAGAAATGTTTCTCAAAGAAAAAAAAAAGAAAAAGAAACTTCATCAACCCAAAAAACAAAGTGTAGGATCAGCCGTCCAAAAACCACATCGGACGGTTAGAAATCGATCTCGAACTTTTTCATTACCCTTCACCCACACTCAATATCGCCACCCCTTATCCCTCGCCCCTCTCGCAACCTCTCCAATGGCCAACGTCTTCCGAACTTCACCATTCTCGGCGCCAATTGCACCGCCGCCCTCCGCCGCCTCGCCCAACTCTAGAAAACGTTCGCCCGTTTCATTTCGGCTAAATCAAACAAGCGGCAACAGCACGCCTTATCTCACTGTAAGCTCCCTCCGGTTCTCTCACTTGCCGTCTCTCCGGTTCGTCAAGTTCGCGCCTTTGGCTTCACAAGGTGAGACCGAGACAGCTGAGACGGTGGAGAAGGAGGTTCAGGAGGGCGAAGAAGTCGAGGTATTGTTTACTTATTATCGATTTCAATTCCTTACAATATCTTAAAAATATTTCACTTTCATATCTTAAGGATTATTTTATTTTAATATCATACATTCGTTAAATGTTTTATTTATTGATCCGTTAAAAGCTGATATGGTTGTAACATTTGCCTGCCAAATTTATGCTACGTGAAAAAAATAAAAATTTATTACCTATTTAAAAAAATAAAAAAACCACCCATCTTCTTCCCCGAGCCCCTTCCCTGTGCACCGTTTTACTTCATTGCATATGATGTTCGTTTCTGACCTTTGGATTGAATAAATCAAAAGAGAGTGAAGCGAGGAAGAAAGACGATGTGTTAAAATCATTTCTCATGTTTTGTGAACAAGTGAAGAAAGTAGAAGGCTTAGCTTATTTCTTAATGTACTTGAACAAATTATACTAGGATTTCTGATATTTGTAACGGAAGGGAATCGAACCCTTGACCTTACTAATCCTAACCCATTTCCCTTACCTCTCCACTTGATTTACTCCAAAAGCGGAGGCTGGGATCCCTTTTGTGTCCACATTGGTGTATTTGTGTAAAATTTCGGGGAGAGTGTTATCATGTCTTCTTGTCATCCTTTTAGCTGGAAAGTATGGTGCTTTTTGGTATTGGTTGCTGCGGCACCTAAGAGTACTTGGAGCTAACAGAAGACTTGACGCAAAATCGAGCTCAGTGGCTTTCTAGGATTCATATAGGCGTCCCCACTTAGTGGGATAAGGTTTTGTTGTTATTGTTGTAAAAAAAGGATTGTGTGACAACAAAGACATAGCTCAAGGCATTCCATGTGTAACAAGGCTATTTTGGACCCGGATTTTGTCTGACAAGAAACATATAGAAATATATAGAACCAAAGTTCTAAAAGATGCTAGGCGCTAGTTTGATGGCGAACTAGGGCCTAGTGCCTAGGCGGCTAGGCAAGGCCTAGGTAGACTAGGCTGATTTAAGTAAACATATTATATATCATATGAATATGTATGTTCATTTGACAAAAAAAAAGTGTGTTTATACTTGAAAATACATAATTGTATTGATATACGTAAATTGAAAAATAAAATGACATATAGACTAGAAAGTATTAGGACATATTGAAAACATGGGGAATCAAAATATACCGAGTGTTCATAAGTATTCAACAAGTCTCTTACCATTTATTGAAAAAAATAAAATACAAAATAAAAGTTATCTATTTTTTGTCCAAGTGAGAGTCACGACCTAAATAGGTTCCTATGTGGGTCTAGGTGCCTAGATGGGTGCCTAAGCATGTCTAGGCACCCTTTCTTAATTTTCAAATGTTTAGAGATTAATCGGAGCAGTGACCAGCCGTCTGGTGCCTAAGCAGCCCTAGGTGGGGATTTTTATAACAGTGTATAGATGGAAAAGTATCACTTTTTTTGTCCAATGGAAAAAGTATTAGTTATCATTCAAGCACAAAGTCAATCCTAGAACCGTTAATACTCAAATTTTTAGGGCCTGTCACTCTAAGTTCGGTTTCCATCTCCTAGATTCTACTTTCTTTAAAACTCATTGAGTTCAGTTTGATGATTCACTGTGTATCCTTCAGCTGTTTGTGCTTGTTTATTAGAAAAAGATTGAGCATTGACTGATGCTTTCTTACTTCAATCCGCAGTTCACATGGATTCTCTTTTAAGTGATGGTTTTCATGTTTTAAATCAGTTTGTAAGATTGCACAGTCATCTTGGACTCTTAGGGCTCGTTTGGTTGAAAGGATTGGATTGGAAGGGATAATTTCTCTAAATTCAAGGCATATTGAAGGTAGATTAGAATGATTTTGATTGTGAGGAAATTAGAGAGGATTAGATATGAAGAAAACTTCTCCCATCTCATCCTCCCTTTTTGGGGAGGATTGGAATGGATAACTTTTCTTCACGAGTAATCCTTCTCCTACCTCCAAGTTGGTCACAATGTTTTCATTTCTTCTTTCAACATACCTTCAAAATAGTGCCTTATCTATTCCAATCCAATCATGTGTACAAACATGGCCTTATACTCGTGAGCTTATTATTTTTTTTTTTCTCACTATTAATTTTTTCATGTATTCTTGGGCACTGGGTACGACCTTTATTCTTGGGCGTATAGCATGACATCCACATGATACTAGGATGATGATGAGGGCTGTGATTCTCAATGCATAGTGAGTCGTGTTACCAAGAATATTCTATATATGTATAAGTATTTGTATATTTGTATATCTCTTAAAAACGAAGCTTTCATCCTGAGGTTTCTGGCAGATTACTTACTTTTGCAGAGTGTAAAAGACGAAAGATTATATGTGCATCACGTACCAGTACTACGATTCTTGTATAATTATGAAGTCTCTATTTTCCACGCTTCTCAAGGCATTTGGTTTTCTATATTTGCTTGCAGTTCCCTACTGTTCTTTCTTTTTCTAATAGTTTTATGGAACAGGACTCTTCAGATGGTGTAATTCCTGTGGAAGATAGTACAAGTGACGGTGAAGAAGGTGGTACAACTGATGATGGTGAAGGTGATACTGAGGAAAAATCTGTTTCAGCCATCACAGCTTCACTCCAACTATACAAAGAAGCTTTAGCCAGTAATGATGAATCAAAAGTTGCTGAAATAGAATCTTTCCTAAAATCTTTTGAAGATGAAAAAATAGGACTTGAAATGAAAGTGGCTTCTTTGTCTGAAGAACTGTCAGCAGAAAAGGTTCGGATTCTGAGAATAAGTGCAGATTTTGACAATTTCCGGAAAAGGACAGAAAGGGAACGCATTTCTCTCGTAACAAATGCTCAAGGGGAAGTTGTGGAGAGTTTGTTGCCTGTAGTGGATAATTTTGAGAGGGCAAAAAGCCAGATTAAGGTGGAGGCAGAGGGAGAGGAGAAGATCAACAATAGCTACCAGAGCATTTATAAACAGTTTGGAGAGATTTTAAACTCCCTTGGTGTTGTCCCTGTTGAGACGGTTGGAAAACCCTTTGATCCATTGGTAAGTCATTCAAACTTCATGGTTATACATAGGTGAAAGACTTATTAGCATAGGAAAACATTCAGTGTTGGACATTTTCCTTTATTTTCTCATGCTATAATAAAGAATCCACTTTAGTTATAAGTAGTTGTTGAAGAGAAAGACAATAGAATTGCATTCTCATAACCATAAATTCACGTTTAATCCTTTTACTGGACGCACCAATTACAGTGAGGCATATGATTTCCTGACGAACACTATGTCTTGGTGATCAATAAGTTCATGTGTGGAATTGTGCTGTTTTGTTAGTTGACAAAATGACTTGTGTGTGTCTTATGGTTGGCTTTATGCAGGCAAGAAACCAAGTTGGCTCGAAATTCAATCAGTTATTTGATGATTATTATCAAGTAGTTAGTCGATTTTGTTCAGGTTTGATGAAGACCTGGATATGGTTTTAAGTCAGACCAAATCATGATTGAATCGAGCCAATTTGGTGAGTCCATGAGAGTGAAAACTACATGTGACCTATTTTGCATTAGTAGGATGAACACGTAACATCAAAGTCATTGAATTGTTACATCTTGTGATTGTTTGACGTCACACTCAGTATGCAGTCTTTAAATGTATTAAGACAAAAAGAATTTATGCAATTTCTAACCTTGAAACTTGCAATTTTCTTGAACAGTTGCATGAAGCAATCATGCGTGAGGACTCTTCAGAATACGAAGAAGGTATTATAATTGATGAATTTCGCAAGGGGTTTAAGCTCGGTGACAGGCTTTTGCGGCCGTCAATGGTAAAGGTATCGGCTGGTCCAGGGCCTGCCAAGGTAGAGCAGGAAGTACCTCCATCTGAGGAACAGGATGCAAGTGAAACCACCGAGAAGGGAATCGAGTCAGCTTAAAGACCACATATTGAGTCTAGTTCAGTTTTGCAACAGAAATGGTAACTTCAATTATACTTCAATCAGTAGGGTAGTAATTTTTGGTGGGTGTGGCTGTTTCTGGTGGCATATTACTGCCAATTTTCTTTTCTACTGAGAGAACGATACTGCTTTTGAGCGAACAATCAGATAAAGCAAGCGCACGATAACTTTTGTGCAGTGATTTGGATGTCCTTGAATGTTTAGTGCCTACCACATTATCAAATCATCAGTTGGAGTATCTGTTTCTTTTTGGTGATCAGTTACATTTTGTACTACTTCAAGTTTATGCAGTCTTGAAATGTATTAACCTCATGGACTTCAACATGTTTTAACAGCTTATCGATGTCAAAGTGAGCTAAAATTCGGACGAACTTTGCCACGGCAAAGTTTCTCGGCAATGGAGTTCATCTTGGGTTACAAGCTTTCCGGTAAGAATTTATGTTTGTTTTGGGTTTTCCTAGTGGTCTACGGTAGGGTTTAGGGTTTAGTTATCTTTCTTTTGTTATGGTTGTTTTGCAATAAATGTTGGGTAATATTCTGCTTGGAATTGCTCCTAGAATAGCTAAAAACGCTAACCGAGTTCTGAGGAAACATTTGCTAGGTGCTTTTCCATAAAGCACATCCAAGTACTTTTTCATGAAACACTTGGACTTTTAATTAAACATTTCTAACATGTTTCTTGTAGCAGAAACATTTTCTATCGACGCTCTTCTTCCAATCCTAACTTTTTCTTTTGTATCCCATGTTTTATTTTGTCATTCTAATTTATTTAATTAGAAGTTCATAAGTAAACATAAGTGTGAAAATCGCATCTCATCATGATTTGTTAAGTGCATTAAGAGCATTTCCTTTGTTTGGTAAAAAAATGAATCTTATTTAACGGAGATATTTCATGGAAAGATCAAAATGATTGATAGTGAACAAACTAGGGGCCAGTTCTATCGATTTTAATTCTCAAGGATAAAGTGAGGAGATATGCCAATCTCAATAATCATTAAGCTAAAAAAAACATAAATTAAATGTGAAATTCTCAAGTACCTATGATTGAGCTAAATGACTAAAACCTGACCCTTCATTGTGGCCAGGTAGGACCTAGGTGACTGGTGGGTCATGGTTTTTTACTAGATTTTGAAGATAGAATTTCTTCTATGACAATGACTTCATCACTAATTTAAGAACATAATATGTTGAAGAATGTAAAGTTTCACATCATTTTTAATTAAATACAATTTACGTTAATTGGTTTTGCTGCTAAGTGTATTGAACCTTTTGTAAACTGAACGCATACTAAATTGCACTAATGATTAAGTTGGAAACAAACATCGAAGTTTTTTTTTTTTTTTTTTTTGGTCGAAAACAAAACTTCATTAATGAAAGAAGAAGTACAATTTGCTAAATAGGCCTAAGCCTAAACAAAACACAGAACCCTACACAAACATAGCAATACATAAAATAGAAGACATGCCCAAAAAGTAGAGCTACAATCCAAGACACAAAGGGATGTCTACACAAATTTAGGCTCACAAGCAACAAAAGAAAAACAATAAGAAAGCCCTAATCTCTAGCAGCAAAACACCAGTCACCACCGCCGCTACCTCCGCGAAGAAACATATCACCCCAAATTGGAATAAAAAACACCCAAACCAAAAGTTAGATTGAGAGTATTGCGCAAAAGCAATCCACTAACAATTATAGCCTCCACAATCACACATGCGAGAAAAGTCACAAAGCGTAACAGAAGGAGGGGAGGATGAAGGACAAACATCGATGTTGATGTTGATTAGAATCTTTATATATAAAGCCAACAACTCCTTTTAGAGTCACACGCTTCACAAAAAATAAGTGGATATAAATGCCCCTTAAACAAAAAACTTAAAAAACAGTCCAAAATAATACATCAAATGTGTCAGGAGTATTTTCGTCATTTTAATAGTGTTTTTTTAATAATTAAAATTTTTTGTACAATTTTTAATTTTTTTTATATTTTATAATTAGTACCTCACAATAGGCTAGCAATAATGTGATTCAATCAGTTGCTCATTAAATATTATTTTCTCTATTTTTAAATATGTTTAAAACATCTTAAGAGGCGTATAATGTCAATTCTAAAAAATGTCTTTCGCATGTCCATAATAATGTGATTAAATTAGTTGTAAAATGATTAATTTTTCTTTTTGAACAAACGATATTATCTACACTAAGGGAAGAAGTGGTGGGCTTAGTTTCACAATGGACTAGCAATAATGTGATTCAATCAGTTGTTTATTAAATATTATTTTTTATATTCTTAATGTAAATTCAATAGAAACCAATTTTATTACGTGAATTCAACTGTTTTGGTTGGTTTATGAGAGGTTTCTTCTAACATGATCTAAGATTATTCATTTACTTCAAATATTGACTTTTGTTTTTTGTTTATGAGAGGTTTCTTCTAGCATGATCTAAGATTATTCATTTACTTCAAATATTGATTTTTTTTTATCAATTGACACATATAAGTCGTATCTAGCTAGCCGTGATGAAAAACATCTTCTACACGCGTACAATAATAGAGTTGTACAAACTGCCGTACAATAATAGAGTTGTAGTTATTTGAGGGCACTGTCCAGAGAGCATGATGGTCCACAATTTAATTTCTTTTGATTTTGTGGTTCACATGTTCAAAAAGAATGAGATCCCAATTTTTGAAACTACATAATCTTAAATTTTTTTAGTGCTAAGTAATTAATTGGTTTAAAAAAAATAAATAAAGATGACAAGTAAACCACGGTTATCCATCTTTTTTGAGCTCGGATAGGCTCTGGGGAAGAATCGGGTCGTTGCTATGTAATTAATTGGTTAAAAAAAAGGAAAAAAGAAGAAGATGATAACTGGTGGTAAACTACGGTTATTCATCATTTGCGAGCCCGAAGAGGCTATAAGGAAGAATCGGGTCGGGTAGATCTGCATGGATTCATTTAGCTCCATGAAGAAGAAGAACCTTCAGCTGACAAGGAGGTGCAGAGAGAAATTACTCAAACCCTTTTGAAGTTATTAAGATTTATGCAATTGAATTTTTTGAGTTTAAATATTTGATGAGGAGACTAGGATTTTGCATATTGAAGAATTCGACACAACAACTCTTTCTTATATCAATTAATATTTTGTTTATATGTAAAAAAAATTATTTAAGTTTGCTTATCTAGATTTAATACAATGATTTATATAAAAAAGAATAAACTGTTGATTTGCCTCCTGAACTGTATAGGCGTGTATAAATCAATTTCACGTCGGCAGAGCTGGCTATGGGGACCTCTGTACACAACAATAATTTATTCATTCAGTCATCAGCTCAAGAACCTCTCTGTAAACTTCTCCTCCACACACTCCAACGTTGGCCCACTTGTATTCAATTGGAACTCAGCGGTCAGTTTTGGCAACGACCAATGGTAGCCAATAATTTATTCATTCAGTCATCAGCTCGGATCCGTCCACTCTAACGATGCCGATATTGTCCTAAATTTAATCATATGTATAATCATCATATGTGAGATTTTACCATAAAAAATCTCGGTATTAATTAGAGTGGGTAATACTATTTAAACTTCTTCACCCCACCGATGCGGGACAGTTTAACATCTTGATCATCTTCTCCACTCCTCACTCTGTTAGTCCTATACAATTCATCCATCGCCTGGGGACTGACCTTGGGCTTTTCAGCTGCCAAGCAACTCCAGCATCTGTTCTGAATAAAATCAAAGTTGTAATTAAGGAGTTCGGTGAAAATAAAAAAGATGATCAAGGTTGAAGTAATTCACAAAGAAATTATTAAACCATCCTCCCCAACCCCTCACCACCTTAGACATTTGGGTCTCTCCCTTTTTGACCAGTTTATACTTGAACTGTACATGCCACAAGTTCTCTTCTATCCTAGCAGCAGTGATGAACATTCTTTGGTTGCTGAAAAATCCGAGCTTCTAAAGAAATCATTATCTGAGGCCCTCACTGTCTTCTACCCTTTTGCAGGGGAATTCAAATATAACGTTTCCATCAACTGCGATGACCGCGGAGCTCTATTTCTTGAAGCCCGAGTCAACTGTCCCATGTCCAAGATCCTGGACAAACCCGATTCTGAGATCCTGAGACAGCTGATTGCAGCTCCTATGCGTTCCAAACAAGCACAAGTAGGGCATCTTGTACTAATCCAGGCCAACGTATTCGAATGTGGTGGATTGGCAATTGGCGTCAGCATTTCTCATAAGGTCGCCGATGCCGTAGTGTACAGCAAATTCATCGAAAGCTGGGCTGAAATTGCCCGCTGCACTGCCAGCACTACTGACCATCACGTAGTACTTCCTACAGAATTTGGTGTCGCAGCTACTTTGTTCCCACCACAAGAATTTTTTAACTCACCGAAGACCCCACTCACGCTACCTTTTATTGACAATGTTATCGGAAGGAGGCTTGTGTTTGATGCCTCAAAGATTGCTGCTCTCAAGGCCAAAGCTGCCAGTGCCACAGTGCCAAATCCGACTCGAGTTGAAGCAGTTTCCGCGCTCATTTGGAAATCCGCAACGGAAGCATCAAGATCCAACTTGGGTTTTGCAAGGCCATCCACATGGCGGTCCGCTGTGAACCTGAGGAAAATATTGGCTCAGCCCTTCGCAGAAAACTTACAGGGAAATTTTGTGTATTTTACCATGCCGAAGATTGAAGAACATGAAGTATATGATCTTCAAACCTTGGTTGCAAAAATGAGGAAAAGCGTTGAGGAACTTAAGGTAAAATATGCCAAAGAAATTAGAGGGGAGGAAGTAGTTCAATTCCTGAAGGAGTATAGTGAGCTCGTTCAAAAGGATGATATGGACAACTATTTTTGCACCAGTTTGTGTGGGTTTCCTTTCGGCTCGGCCAATTTTGGATGGGGAAAGGCATCATGCATACGTATCCCTTGGAATGAAGATTTCAAAAACAGAATGTTATTGTTGGATGCAAGTGATGGCATTGGCATCGATGCATACATAACACTGAAAAAAGAAGATATGGTCATGATTGAAACCAACCAGGACCTGCTTGCATATGCTTCTCTGCATTAGACCATTACTGAAAGGTAAATCTCGTCTAATCCTTCTCTATAATTACTTAATAAATAAAAGGTTTGCTTCCCCAAGTCATTGGAGATTCAAACTATAAATATCTTTCAAATGTCGGGAAATAAAATACAATTAGACTAAGAGCTAGTTGCCAGTGTTCTTGAGCATTTAGAGTTTGTTTGGATACTATGTTGTAACCTTTCGTGATTTCTTTTGTTGCTTTTGATTCCACAATTTCCTTGTTTTGCGTGAACAGTGAGTAATGTATTGCTTTTACTATCGACTTTATTTTTCTTTCAATAAAATGGATTTGTTTTATTGCGTATGCCTAAGAAAATATAGATCCCTAACAAAAGAAAATGAAAAGAGTGCTGAGAATGCTTTTCTATCAACAAAAAAAAAAAAGACAAATTGACTAAGAATGCTTTCAAGTAATTTAAAACAAGGTTACAACACGTGTGATAATATAATGGACGATTGGGTTGATAAATTCTATTTTAAGTAGGACTCTTATAAAACTGGTTCACCGCCACCCGAAAACCCCAATTATATAACAATGGCCCAAAACCTGCTGGATAAAAGAGGCACGATGAATAAAGGGTAATGGGAGAAGATGAGTTGATGTCGTCTATTCCACCCCGCCGTGAGGGAGGCATGCAGGCAATGGAGGATCTAAGATTCGAAACTTGGGTGTCCCAACATTAAACGTTCACGTTTTTTAAAGAAACAAAGTGCGGAGCGTGTTAAAAAAATTCATTTGATCCAACTGAGGCATTTTGTCGAACACTTAGTGGGTTTATTGACGAAACCAGACCAAGTTGTTGCCTATATGTCAACAAGTTACGATATATGCTAAAGCAATCTGAATAATGCTATCAATAATATATGTCGAGTGATGTTGATGTAGTCTGTCGAGATATGCGTACATACCAAACAATCAAAGGATCTTCAGAGGATCTTCATATGCGTGTTTTCCACCCTCCGAGTGGTCCTAAGACCACTTTGGTTCCAATTTACATCCACCCTTGCGGTGGGTGGAGTTCAAGAATTCTTGTTGTTGTGTAGCTTTTTTTGCTTATCCATTTGTGTATCTTATATTTTGTTTTCTTAAGTAAATGACTAGGGGTGTGCTATCCACACACTATTTTTTACTTCTCACATATCCTCTTAATTTTCGGTCGTTGGATCAAATGGATTGAAGAATATCAAATGACAAAAATTAAAGGGGTGTGTGGATATCACACCCCAAATGACTAATGTTGATGGGGAAAAATATGATTGGCTAATAACATTTTGATGTCATATAGTCATCACAATCTAATAATCTAGTCTCATCTAAGACTAATATATAGAAGTAAAGATAAGTATGTGAAAAACATCTCATCGTTATAAGTTAAAGGGAGCTAAAGTGGTATTTGAGATTGGGATAACTCTCACTTTAGTCCTGATAATAAAAATCGATAAAAATGATCCGGTCATGAAAATTATTTTATTTTTTCTGGAAAAAAATCTGTCAATCTTCTAATAACTTTTTTATGTAGTATTCACCGAAAAGAAGAAGAAGAGGAAAGAAAGAGTTATGAAACCTTTTTATGTAGTATTCACCGGAAAGAAGAAGAAGAAGAAGAAGAAGAAGAAGAAGAAAGAAAGAAAGAATGTCATAACTCATAATCCCATCATAGCCGATTGCACCGCTGCCCTCCGCCGCCTCGCCCAACTCTAAAATACCTTTTCGGCTAAGTCAAACCAGCAGCAGCACGCCTTAGCTTAAGGGTGGAAAAAATTCCTAAAAATCCCAAACCAAACCGAAAAAATCGCAATCCCAAACCAACAATTTCCCAAACCGAAATTTCATTCGGGATTGGCTTCTCTATATTTCGGGAATCCCATACCAAACCAAAAATATATATTATTAATTAATATATATATATACATATATATATATATATATTATATATTATTCTTTTATAATTGATGCTAGTTGACACACCCCGATCCTGAAATCAGGGCATGCTAGCCGCCACGTGAGCGTGACGTAACCATAAGTGCGATACGGAAGCAAAGGGAATAAGAAATACGAAGGAATAAAAACCAACTACTAGCAGTATTAGAGTGAGTTAAAGTGTGCAATACACGATTTCAGAGCATAAAAACTAGGTGTAGTCAAGTAGGACTATATTTAAATTACAACACCCGCAGGTGAGTCCTACATGCAGGAAGTCTGTCAGAACGTCAAAGAAAACCTCGTGAGCCACCAATTGCTAACTAGAACCTGGAAGGGCGCAAAAACAAAATTGAGCGGGTCAGTAAAACCAAAGTTTTCAAAAACATTTCATTTAAAACGTTTCTAACCCCTCGCTGTAAAACCTGTATACTTCCCCAGAAAAATAGTATATAAACATATATATATCATCAAAAGCTCAACTCACAATCCTTCATCGCTTTTCAGAAAGAATATGCCATGCCATGCCAAAATATAATAAGAATGTATCAATACAAATCAGGTGAAATAATAAATCAACCGGAGACCCTACAATGGTCCTGTACGGCTGATTCTATAGCTCAATATCCCATCCAGCCGGAGTCACCAACTGTGATCTGTACGGCCCTGCCGAAGTCACCAACTGTGACCTGTACTGCACTACACTGCACTTAAGTCGGAACTACCTATAGTAGTCTGTACGACTATGATGGTGAATTAATACGCTCTAGTGCTTCTCTCATTAATCATCTGTGCATATAATCTAAGGTCACCTACTAGTCGGAACCACCTCTAGTGGTCTGTACGACTAGCATGTCGGAACCCTCACATGGTCTATACGACATGCACCAACTTGGATCCAAGGTGAGCGTGCGGTGCGGTGAATAATATGAGCACTAACACCAGGGGTGTAGGTTATGAGCTCTCAACACAATTCACATCATCAATGATTCACATGAATAACATAAAACTCACCTGATACTCACCTATGCGTCCACAGCACCAATTCACATAAATATGCATCAATTATCAATCCATATAATTTATAATATGCATGCTTGGCAATTGAAAACATACTTTCATATAAATTCAATTTCTGGGAACATTAATAGTATATAGGTAATACGAAAAACAAAACTGCCCACTCACTGGTAAGTCGATGGGTCGTAACCCCCGTGATGTCCCTGGATGCGCTCGTCCTCGGGATAGGTGTCACCTATATGCGAAACAACTATAAAAAAGTTAATTAATGCACATAACCGATAATTTGAAATAACTTCTCATACGGTGCTCAATTTGGGTATATGAATATACCACATCGACCTACTCGACGTCACGAACGTTGAGAAAGTTTTAGAAATTTTTTTTGACGTGGCACGCGCCCCCACGCGCCAGGGCAGCACGGGTACATGCGCCCCCCACGCGCGTCTTCTTCCTTGGTTCGCCGGACTGTGTTTTCCGGTGGCTGGAAAACTGGGGATTTTTCAATCCCCTTGTTCTCCCTCATTTCTTAACCGTTTTCTTCGTATTTTATATCAATTTGAAGCCCTCAACATGTAGAATCATGATAGACTAGTTTCAAGGTCTAAAATCCACTAGATTTTACCTGAGAAAGCTCGATAATCCGGCCAAATTTGAAAAACTCCGTTCTCAGTCCTTCAACGTCCAAATTCTACCAACGAAGTACCCCGAAGCTCGTGAGGATCTCCTTAAGCTCACTGTGAGCTTGAAATTCCCTGAAATGCAAGATTTTACCTGTGCATGAACAATGCACATTTTCGGGGTTAGGGTTTCACGACAATTCTGAGGGTTTTAACTTCCACAAATCACATATACGAACTCACAAGCTTACTAGGAGTTCAAATCTTACCTTAGAACCTTCGATCCGTGAAGAAATGGGAGGTTCTTAGCTTGTCCGTACAATTCGAGAGGGAGAGAGAGAGAAAGCCGTGAGGGAGGAGAGAGAGAAACACGGGGGAGGGAGAGAGGGAAGGAAGTGTGTGTGTGTGGTCTATCACAACCCCTCACCATCCATTTCTTTTTCCTAACTCCCTAACCACATAAATTACAAACCAACATTTTAATCTCACTTAAGTTATTTCCCAAAGCTTATGAAAATTTAGTCTAAATAATATGTCACACACACACACATACCTTAATACCCGTCAAGGGTGATTCCGCCATTTCATGTCCCCGATATAAAGAATCATAGGACGGGCTGTGACACTAGTAGTTTCTAATTGATGTCTTGTATTTGTACCATACTTTACCAATACCGAAACTACTGAGCATCGGTCAACGTTATACCGTCAAGGACCTAGAAGAGTTTCCCTCCAACCAGGAGGCCAATCACAGCGCGACACGTGTCGACATCAGAAGCCAATCATAGCGCGACATGTGTTAACATCAGAAGCCAATCACAACACAACACGTGTCAATGTCAGAATGAAACTAGAAACTCTCTTCTATAAATAGAGATCATTCTCTCACAATATTTCTGAATGTCATTTGTACTAAATCATTCATTAGTACTCACTAAAGGAGAGCTTGAACTTATGTACTTGTGTAAACCCTTCACAATTAATGAGAACTCTTCTACTCCGTGGACGTAGCCAATCTGGGTGAACCACGTACATCTTGTGTTTGCTTCCCTGTCTCTATCCATTTACATACTTATCCACACTAGTGACCGGAGCAATCTAGCGAAGGTTACAAACTTAACACTTTCTGTTGTACCAAAGTCCTAATTGATTTTGTGCATCAACATTTGGCGCCGTTTGTGGGAACGACACTTATTCCCACTATCTTCAGCTTTGTCAAGCTGGTTTCCACCATTCGTACACTCTCTTTTGACCAGGCATCCCTCTCCAACATGGGGAGCGAATGAAGCCATAACACACAGAATGACACCCCTCTTGCACCTAGTGCGAAGCAACGAAAGAAGGAAGGAAATAGGGTTGCTCTTTAAGCTAAAGTCTATGAGCTAGAAGCTCAGAACAACAAGATAGCAATGAAGAATGAGGTCCTCCAGGAGCAGTATGAGAAGCTATTTGAGACACTCCACGAAACTAGGCATACTCAAACACGCGAGCTCGTTGCCCTTGTGGACATCAACCATCATCTAGGTGCCCTCCAACACGGAAGATTACCTTCCTTCGACATGGGTATCCCTGATGAAGAGTGAGCTAATCATCAAAACATTGATCAACATGAGACATCTCTCAACCCAGCTGCTTCGACCCGAAGCAGGAGAAGTGGAGGAAGACACCTCCTTGCAGAAGGGTTGGAATGATCGAAAGCCGTTTATCGTGACTGCTTAGACTTCCTAAAGCAACGTCGAAAGAATCCCCTCCACATATGCTTGAAGATCAATGACCTAAGGGTTTCTGAAAGACTCGGTCTCCTCTCACGACCCAGGCCATCTGCCAATCTAGGGAAGGAACGACAGGTCCTAGAGGGACATGAAGGTATAGGGGACTCTGAAATATTCCGACAGACTAGCCTTAGAAGTCAGTACGGCGAGTCCAAGGAAAAATCACACGCATTTGCTCAAACTTTCCTACTTCCAAGAGGCGATGGAGACTTACGAAAGAAAATCCCAGTGGTACATGACTCTACTCAGGACCCCCTTGTCCTACAGCTCCTTGAGGAAGTAAACAAGTTGAAGGCCGAACGTCAGGTTGAGATACCTGATTGGAACCAACCTAGGCCTGGCCCTCTCACAAGGAGGATCCTCGACACCCCCTTCAAGCAAAGACAAAACAAAAGCTTGGTTTACAACTCTATACTGGAAGGGAAGACCCAATTGAACACCTTAACCTCTTTGAGTCCACCATGGCATATCGGATGCACACCGATGAAGAACGATGTCTTCTCTTCCCCTCCACCCTCTCTGGCGGAGCTCTAAACTGGTATTGCCGTCTTCCACCTGAGACTCATTTGAGGAACTGAGGAAACTGTTTGTCTCTCAACACATCTTCCAGACCGATCGCTTGCATTCTGCAGATGACTTGTACACTATTCGCTAGAAGCCGGACGAGTCACTACGAGAGTATGCCGGTCATTTCAGCCATGAGTATTCTCGCTGTGCTGAGGCAGATGACAAGACCGTCCTCAAGGCTTTCACGGTAGGCCTACGTGATTGTTTCTTCAAGTACATGATCAATGCCAACACTTAGAAGACTTACTCTAAGGTGATGGCACATGCTTACAACCATGCCTCCGCCGAGGCAATGACATATCAAGGGAAACCCCCCACAACCACCCATTATCAGCAAGTAGGGAGTGGAAGCCAGATCAAACCAAATGAGAAGACCTCGACCTTCCAAACGGCAACGGTGCCTCCCCCTACCTAACTTAATACTTTGCCAAGTCAACAGACATATCAATCTCAGGGCAAAATGAAAGATTTTCATCATCACCAGTCTCATTTTAGTAAAAGGAGTAAGGGACACTACTGTGATAACCAAGGGTATCGCCATGATAATCCCCGACCCCAGGCAGTCAACACAGTGGGTCAAGCACGTGTCAGGACAACCCCTACCCCGAGGTATGAGGCATACACACCTTTAAACACCACGTTCATGGCCATTTACCCCAGTATAACACATTTGATATCGAAGCCAAAGCCGAGGTACCCGGATTACAAGCCCACGATGAACACGAGCATGTTTTGCTGTTACCACGAGCATAACGGCCATGACGGCGAGAAGTGTATCACTCTTCGTGATCATATTGAAGCTTTGGCACGTGAAGAAAAAATTGATCAATTCCTCCTTCACCCTCCAAGGGGTAACCGTAACCAACGCTAGGTAAATGTGATATATTCCATAAGTGGTGGCACACCTATATCTAAATCTTCCAACAGGGCCATGAAAAATAGTGAATGAAGTTTAAGGTCTGGCCATCAAGTGTTTCACGATGAAGACATCAAGGGAGGTAAGTATCAAAAGCCTAACTAGGATCCAATATGTTTCTACCCTAAGGAAGAAAGAGGTATCATCTACCCTCACAACGACCCACTGATCGTAGAAGCTCACATAGCCAACTTTGAAGTACGACGAATCCTGGTAGACACAGGAGCTTCGGTCAATATCATGTTTGCTGAAGCTTTCAGGGCACTTAATGTAGCTGAACACTTACTCGACCGTTCGATTTCCCCTCTGATAAGCTTCTCCGGTGATATCGTGCAACCTTTGGGGAGCATACACTTACTTTTCACCATTGGTACAGGCCCTTATACAGCTACCATTACCACTAACTTCCTGGTGGTTGATTGCCTAACAACATAC